CAGGAATGGGCTGCCGTTGGGGTCTGTGCCCGCGCCGAAGAACCGCACCACGTTGGGGTGCCGTGTGCGCTGCAGGAAGTCCACCTCCTTCTCAAACTCCTGCACCGTGGTCTCGTCAAACATCATCACCCCTTGCTGCAGCACTTTCACCGCCACCATGACCGTATCCCACTCTGCCTTGAAGACCACGCCAAACGCACCCGCAGCCACTCGCTTGATCATCCTCAACTCATCGTAGTCAATCTCCCACGCCCGCTTCAGCGCCAGCACCTCCTCGTCCCTCTCCAGCAGCAGGCGCTTCTGCAGGTTGACGTGTGTTCTGAGGCGGTAGTGGCGGGACATGACGGCAATCACGACGCCCAGCAGAATCCCGGCTGCAACGGAGCCGGCAATGACGGTGACGTTGTGCGAGGGCTTCTGCACGCACTCTGCGTTCGCCATCTTGTAGCCACGAATGCATGTGCACTTGTACGTGTACGCCAGCACGGTGTCGATGACAAAGGGGTCGATGTCGCTGCGCAGGTCGTGGGAGGACAGCTCCAGGTTACACTCGATCCTGGTCTTGGCCAGCTGCAGCACGGGCGGCAAGTTGCGGCTGGGCAGGGCGGTGTCGGCGTTGAGCAGGCGATACTTGGCGTTCGAGAGCACCGTGAGCGAGGGCGAGGGCGCATCCGGCTGAATCAGGGCGGGCCTGTTCACCCAGTTGTTGTTGGAGACATCAAGGAGCTTCACTTGGCCAAGGCATGTCTGAACAACGCCGCGGACACTGTCACTGCCGCTCGCCCAATCCTTGGACTTGAGGCGACGGGCAATGAGGAAGCGCGTGCCCAAGGACGTACACAGCGGGGTGTTCGGATGCACGCTCGTGCCGGTGATGTCAAGCACATTTACCGCTGCGCCTTCAGACACGTGCAGCGTCGTCAGCTGCTCGCAGTCAGACACATCGAGCTCGTTGAGGTCGTTTGCGATGCGCACTGTTGTCAGGTTGCTGTTGTGTGAGAGGATGGCTGTGGATGAAACACCATCGCACACCGCAATGTCGCTGTAGGATGTGTAGGTGATGCCCAGCTCTGTTTTCGCTAACGGGTCGAGGAGGGTGCATACGTGTTCCATCGGCACGTTGTCTTCGTGCATACCCCTCCATCCAAGGTAGAGGTTGTGCAGCTTCAGCTCCAGGGCACGCTTTTGGGTCGAGTTGAAGGCTTTGGTGACCTGCGCGATGTTGACGTTGCGCAAGTCCAGCGTTTGCAAGGACGAGGTTGTGTTGAGGAGCAGTGCGCTCTCGGCAATGATGGCTTTGGACGTCGTATCACGCTTCACGCTCGCGCGCAGAATGGTCAGGGAGGAGGTGAGCAAGGAGGTGAGGTTGAGGGTCGCAATCTGGTGTCGCTGCAGGAGGAGGGTTGTGAGGTTTGGCATGTGCTTGATGTTGGGCGTGCAGGTGAGTTGGTTGTTGCTGATGTCGAGGCGGGTCAAGCTTGGCACGACAGCGGCCACGTTCAGGCTGGCGAACGAGTTGTTGCGGAGGTTCAGCACGGAGATGTTTGAGAGGCGGCTGAAGAAACTGCTGGGGAGGTGTGACAGGCGATTGAAGCTCAGGTCAACTGTCGTGAGGTTGCTGCTGGAGGGGAAGAATGCATCGGGAAGCACCCTGATACCTGTTCCTGCCAGGTTCAGCACCTGGAGCAGTGTCATATGCTCGAGGATGAACTTGGTGTGATGATGTGCGGTGGCCAGCCGGGTGTTGCGCATCGAAAGGTATTGGAGCGAAAACAGGCGACAAAGGAAGCCCGGATTCACTGCTGGGCCATCATCAGCATCGTCGTCGTCGTCGTCGTCGTCGTCGTCGTTGTTGTTGTTGTTGGCGTTGCTGGCAGGTTCGGTGTTGGTGATGTCCGTGATAAGGGTATGTAGGCGAGGGGCGCAGGTGCGGGCGTTGGAGACATGCTCGCAAAACGCGAGTTGGTCCACGACCTCGAGCGGGTTGTTGGCGAGGTCAAGCGTTTCAAGCTGGTTGAGGATCAGCGCGTGGGCTTGGATGCAGCTCACCCTGTTGTCTCTCAGGACGAGGGCAGCTACGTTTGGCACAGGGCCAAATGTGTGTGCATCAAGCGTGGTCAGCTCGTTGCCTGACAGGTCAAGGTGGCGAAGAGAGCGCAGCAAATGCGGTGTGGCTTGCGGGACTTCTTCGTCATCGGTGTTGGAACGCCCAATGCTGTGAATGTTGTTGTTGGCCAAGTCAAGGGTGTGCAAGCCCTGAGCCATGTTGAGACCGGAGAATGTGGTCCAGGGCAGGTGAAGGTCCTCGTGCCGCCCGCTCAAGCCACGCACGGTGAGGGTTTGCAGGTTGCGCCACGAGTTGTTGCTCAGCAGGTGCTCGAGTATGGAGGATTCCAAGTATGGGGCACGGATGTTCAGCTCGATTATGTTGTCCACACATGACGGGGGCAGAGTCCAAGTCGTCCGGCTGCCAGCGCTTTCAGTGTCGTCGGCAGGGATGAGGAGTGTGAGGTTGCCGTTGGGATTTTCGGAAGTGGCTGTTTCTTCGCATCCATCCTTGAGGGCCACATCGATGTTGCAGGCCGCGTTTGTGCTAAGGCGACACTGCTTCATTAGGGGGTGGGGGGTTGAGTGGTGGCGGTGCGTGATGAGCGGGGTGAGACAAGCAAGCGGACAGCGTGGAGGTGAGCATGGATGGGGTTTGCCACCGCAGAGCACACATATTGTACATTGTGTGTGTGGAGGAGGGCTCCCATGAATCCATGAATCCATGAATCAATGAATCCATGAATCCATGAATCCACACAACACAACACAACCCAACACAACACACACACACACACACACACTCTCTCTCCCTCTCTCCCGTTCCTTTGCTCTTGCTTACGTGATCTCCTTGGGCAGGCGGGATCATCAGGAGCAGCAGCAGAGGCAACAGCAAGCAGAGGGCGGACACGCACAAGGACACCCTCCTCCGTGCGAGCCGCAGTCGTCCTGAGGTGGCGCGGCAAGGCAACGACATCGCGGCCGGGTGGAGTTGCTTTGGTGACTTGTGTTGTTGTGTTGCTGCAGTGAGAGTGGGAAGGAAGACAAGGAGGAGGATGGGAAGGGACGGGAAGGTGCGTTGTTGTGGAGCGAGATGCCAAGCAGAGACCCTACGACACAAGAGGATTCGCTCCCGTCTTGTGCGAAGCACGCGAACCTGCGGAAAAGTAATGATAAACATTAATAATTGTCGGAAGGATTTTCAAAAGTTCGCACCGTCACGATAGGCTCACTGCAGTTTGTGGTGCTTGTGACAGGTAAGACTAGAAAAACTGAGTTCAGTTCTTGTTGGTTGGTTGGTTGGGCGTGGAGATGGCTCACATCTCACACATCGCACCTGTGTGGATATGGTGGTGGGTGCGTCCCATGTCTCACTCATGTCTCGCATGTCACTCATGCCTCGCGCGTCACACACCAAGCGCTCACCTGCACAACCTCGACGCCTTCTCATCTGAAAGAAGGCGCAATGCATTTCTGCGAAGGTGGGGTTGCGCGCGCATGTCCCTTTGTGAGTTATGCATTGTGTCGTGACACAGTGTTTGGAAGTGCGAGAAGGTAAGGCAAGGATGTTGTCGGGTTGTCGTCGTTGTTGTCTTGTTTGAAGTTGTTCAGACGTGTGTGCCTGTTGTGCTTTGCATTGGCCGACCACCAGCTGCCACGTCAGCCTCTATCATCGCACCACTCACACGTCTCCCACCATCGCCCATATCGTGGCTTGCGCACCTGCAGCCTTGCAGGCTTGCGGCGCGCCAAACAACCGCATTCCTGAACCGTTTGCGCTCGCTCGTCGCAATAGCCGAGGTACATCGACTAAGTTGCTTATTGCGCAACGATGGCAAGTTGGAGACTGCCAGCGGGTTGGGAGATGTTACCGGCAGGCTGTGCTGTGTGCGCCCTTTGCCCAATACGCTCGCCTAGTTTGCACACTTGATGACGAATGGAATCTCACACACCGTTTGTCACGCAAGCTAGCTTTTCTCGCCAGCACTCACAAGGCATTGGGCTGTTTACATTTTCCGCGGTGTGTGCACGAATATGAACAGCAGCATCGCCCGCACGAAGAAGAAGAACAAGAGCAAAGGCAGGCAGGCCGCCTCGGCGACTTCGCCATCGTCAGCACTTGTGTCGCCAACGATGGACATTCAACAGCATCGGCGACCGCGATCCTCGCGCTCGTCGAGGCTGCCTCAGTCAATACCAACGATGCGGCACCGCCGCTCCCGCTCCGATGAGCTTGCTCGCGTCAGGTTCGAACCAAGCGCAGGCAATGCCACGCATGCGGAGCTCAAGGCCTGGGTCGCCGGCACCAGCATCTCGGCGTCGTCCAGGCGCCAACCGCCTCGCGTCTCACCACAACATGACGCATGGCACAGGCCGGTACGTTTGTTTTGTTGTGTTTGTTTGTGTGTGTGTGTGTGTGTGTGTGTGTGTGTGTGTGTGTGTGTGTGTGTGTGTGTTGTTGTTGTACGCCATGACGCCACTACAACTCCTCGAGCTGGCTTGGGGTAAACCTCGACTTGATAGTGTGACTTCCGTACTAGACCCTCGGCCGACCTTACTGAGTGAGGGCGAGTCTGTGAATGAATTTTTTTCATTCTTTGTTTGTTTGCTTGCTTGTGTTCTTTTTGTTTTGGGGCATTCGTGTTCCGATTATGGACACACACACACACACACACACACACACACACAAACAAACAAACAAACAAAACAAACAAACAAACAAACACACACACAAACAAACAAACAAACACACACACACACACGCTCCGCCTCGTCTGTTGTATCATTTGTCCTCCAACTCAATTGTCGCTCACATGATGCTCTCGCCAACGCACAAATGCGCACAGACCCACACGGGCAATGACCCACCGCCACCACGACCGTGGAAGTACCCGCCAAAACCGCCAGAGTTCGCCGACACGGGCATCTTGGAAGACGCCCCGCTTTACCACCGCATCCACCAGAACTGTCATCAGCGTGTCACGACGATGATGGCGACGTTTGCACATTTGCGCTCTCGCTTTTCGGGCGCGCGTGCTGTGTCGACTTCTCCCCACCACGTGTGGCAGCACCAGTCCCACACGCACCACGAGTACCGTGGCTTTGTCCACAGGTATGCCAGTCATGACAGTCATGACAGTCATGGCGACGGCCAACAGCAGCAAGAGCAGCAACGCGAACTAGCGCAGCGGGGGCGTTGCACGTGGCCGCTGTCTGCATCCCATCGCGATTCAGCAACGGCAACACCCACCCCGCCTCCGACCACAATCACGACAACCACAGCAACGAGGCACGTGTCTCCAACAACACCGACAGCAACAAGGGTGACCCCGACACCAGTGACAACAACGACAATGTCGGAGGTGGAGCGCACGAAGACGAGCAGTGACGACCTGAAGGACATTGCGACCGAAACGCCCACCTGCTCACAGGCCCACCGCAGCCCCGGCTCGACCATGCTGGTGCGCCAGTGAATGAGTTGGCTGTGTGTGTGTTTGTATGTGTATTGCTGGTGTGTGTGTGTGTGTTTATTTGCTTGCTCTCTTGTTTGTTCTCTTGTTGTCCTCTTGTTGGTCTGCTTACCCCCCCCCCCCAAATATCCTTGCCGATTGTTGCGCTTTCGCTGTCCCCCAACTCTTAACTCACACGTGGCTGAATCTCGTCGTCTGGCCTGCGCAACTTTGTTAACTCCACCCAGGATTATGCTCACCAACGTGCGTTGAAAGCATGGTTCTGTTCGCGTCATTGCATGTGCTAGCTTGATGTGGGTTTGTGTGTTGGAGGGTTGGGGGTCGGGGAGGAGGAGTATTCTTCCTCCTGCTCATACCGCAACCACACACACACACACACACACACACACACACACACACACACACACACACACACACACACACACACACACACACACACACACACACACACACACACACACACACACACACACACACCAGGTCGGATCCTTCGGGCCAAGGTCGTGCGATGCATCCTCCGCCTGTCTGCGGATGAAGCCACACTCCTTGGTGTCTGCATTGGGGCGCCCCCTGTCGAGACTGGACGGGAGCTGCTGTCCGCGTTGAGGACGCGTGTTACTTCCAATGGCCAGCCGTACATGCATGAACACTTCGCCCTCAACCCGTTGCTGCTGGACATTGTCACCGAGTGCCCAGAACTCGGTGAAAATCACGTGCTCGCAATTGCAATCCAGAAGCTTCTGCTACACACACGTGACGGCACACGCACACGGTGAAGTGCAACGAGTGGACCTCTCATCCAAGGAGCGGTGGTCCTTTCGTCCAGCAAGCATCTCTTCCACTCGCAGCGTTCCTGCTGCTGTGCTGGGACTTGTCTTCTTCCTGTTAATTGTGGCCCAAGCTGTACGCGGGGTCACAACATCGACAACCCACCACACCAAGCTTTCTTCAAGAGCGCACTCGCCCTTCCTGCCATGCCGCTCACATTGCATCTACTTTGGGGGTTGAAGTTTGTACATGCCACTTTGTGGCTGCTCACTCATCCCCTCCTTTCCCTGTTGTGGAGTTTTGATGGTGCGCTCATCATCATCCCCACGCAACACAACACAACACAACACAACACTCATTTGCTTGCTGTTGTTGGTGTTGGTGTTGTTGTTGTTGTTACTTATTGGTCTTTCGATCAAACCAGGTCCCCTTGTTGTGCTGTTGCGCCAACATGCACCTGATACCTAGTTTGCTGGTTGTTTTGTGTTTGTGTGTGTGTATGTGTGTATGTGCTTTTGGTGGCTGGTGCGTGATGCCACCACCACAACATACACACACACACACACACCACCACCACCACCACCACCACCTCCTCCTCCGTGGTTGTTATTGTCCACTCTTAACAATCGTTGATTGCTTAAACACGCGCCTGCCTGTTTCGTGCCGAAGTGACACGTTAGCGTGTCTGTGTGAATGTTGTGTGTCTGTGTGAATGTTGTGTTCGTTCTGCTGCCCTGGCCACTGTTGCCTTGGTCCGCTACCTGCTGCTTCCTACTAGCCTACTGCTCCCCGTGGGCATTCACTTTGCAACATTGTGAAGGAATGCCCCTCTTCTTACACCCTGCGGAACGCTGGCATGCTTCACAATAAACGGTCTTGCCGTTTTCCTTTGATGCTGGCTGGAGCGAGAGGCGAGAACGTTGGGGGCAGAGGCAAGGGGAGGGGAGGAAGACACAACAACACACAACAACAACAACAACAACAACAACAACAACAACAACAACAACAACAACAACAACACACACACACACACACACACACACACACACACACACACACACACACACACACACACACAGAGCACACACCACACGCACACCACACGCACACACACACACACACACACACACACACACACACACACACACACACACACACACACACACACACACACACACACACACACACACACACACACACACACACATACACACAC